TCCTCCAGCCCCCAGAACCGTCAGGACCCCATCAGCCCTGCAGCCCCCAGGTCCTTCAGGACCTCCATCAGTCCTTCAACCCCCCAGGATCCATGGGACCCCCCCCCCCAGCCCCCTGAACCCTCAGGTCTCCCACCACTCCTGCAGCCCGCAGAACACCACATCCTTCACGACAGGGTCTCCCCCCCCTTTTCTGCCTTTCCCCCCCTGCACTCATCAAGCTCTTGACGAGGGTTTTTATCCTGTCCCCACACATCACCCGCGTTACCTCGGGGAGCTGCCAACTCCCCGTCACGTCACCATCAGCACCAGCTCCCAGGTGGGCCCTGGAGCAGCTCCCGCACGTTGGCGGGGCACGTGCGTGTGCACGGCGGTGGCACTTTTGGTGGCCTGGCCGTGTCCCAGCACCGAGGGCTCCCCCGCTCTGTCACGTCCCAGCACCAGGGACCTTCCCCCTCGCCGTAAACAAGCCCGGGGCAGCGCGGCTCTTCACAGCTGCTTCGCACTTGGCATCTCACAAGTAGGTGTTATTAATTAATTAGGCCGTCTCTGGCCAGGCTCCGATTTAATTAACGTTGCCGGCGCTGCAGATGCTGCCCTGCCCCGGGCTGTGTTGCCACGTGAGTTGTTTTCCCGAGGGTCTGCCGCAGCTACCGGAGCAGTCACCGCTGCCTGTTGCTCAGGATGGAGTCCTTGGATGTCATTTTTGGCCCAGTCCTTCCCTCTTTCCAGCTTTTCCCCAAATTTTCCTCCCCATCTTCCAGCTTGGCACGTCGTGGCATGAGAGTGGGCAGGCCGGGCGTGCTGCAATGGGGCAGGGTGTGAGTGTGAGGGCACACCTGTGCTCGTGTGTGCAGATGAACACGTGTGTGGGAGCCTGGCCAATCCCCTTTCACACCCGAGACCCCCAAGTCCTGTCTGCACCACCCAGAATCTGACCGAGACCACTCCTCCATGCGTGTCCCCACACGTGCCAACAGACACATGGTGACATCCCCACAATGAGGGGCTGGGGGCTGCGTGGGCATGCTCATGGTGGGCACGGTGCCCATGTGCTGACTCCCCACCCCAGGGTGGCCATGGTCCCATCTGCTGACCCCCACAACGAGGGGCTGGGGTTCCTGCGTGGGCACAGTGCCCGTGTGCTGACCCCCCATTTTGGGTTTCCTGCGTGGGCACGGTGTCCATGTGCTGACCCCTCACCCTGGGGTGCCCGCATGGGCATGGTGCCCATGTGCTGGCCCTCCACCCTGTGGAGATCTTTGTGGACAGTTGGTTTGCTGAGAAAGGTCACGTCTTAAGCTAGAAGGGGACAAGTTTAGGAGTCAGCAGTCAGTGTCCAATGACAGGCAAGGACGTTGTGCCCTTGGTGCAACAACAGGATAGGGGAGAACATCTTTGGCAGAAATAAGAAGAAAAGTTTCAATAAAACATCCGCAAGAATGCAGAAGTAGGCGTAGTTGGCTGATAAATAACTAACCAATAGTGAGCTCGCCTTTGCAATATGTATGAGCCTCATTAACACGGATATAGAGATGTGGACCTATCAATAAAGTTGGAGATTTCCTGATCAATCATATTGCGTGCTGCGTTTCTCCTGCCGATCCCAACACCACCCCAGCATGGGCACGGTGCCCGTGTGCTGACCCCCACCTCGGGGTACCTGTATGGGCACGGTGCCCGTGTGCTGACCCCCAATTCTGGGGTACCTGTATGGGCACAGTGCCCATGTGCTGACCCCCACCTCGGGGTACCTGTATGGGCACGGTGCCCGTGTGCTGACACCCATCCTGGGGTGGGCATGGTGCCCGTGTGCTGATCCCCACCCCAGGGTGAGCATGGTGCTCGTGTGCTGACCCCCCCATTCTGGGGTGCCTGCGTGGGCACGGTGCCCGTGTGCTGATCCCCCACTCTGGGGTGGGCACGATGCCCATGTGCTGACCCCCCACCCCAGGGTGGGCACGGTGCCCGTGTGCTGACCCCCTATTCTGGGGTACCTGCATGGGTACAGTGCCCATGTGCTGACTCCCCATTTTGGGGTCCCTGCGTGGGCACGGTGCCCATGTGCTGATCCCCACCCCTGCGTGGGCACGGTGCCCGTGTGCTGATCCCCCAATCTGGGGTGGGCACAGTGCCCGTGTGCTGACCCCTGATTTTGGGGTTCCTACATGGGCACAGTGCCCATGTGCTGACCCCTCACTCTGGGGTGCCTGCATGGGCACGGTGCCCGTGTGCTGACCCCCACCACTGCGTGGGCACGCGTGTGCCGCTGTGTGACTCTGTGTGTGCCATGAGTGCTGCGTGGGCGTGAAGCTGGAGGGTGGGGGTACCACCTCCCCCCGGCCCCCATTGGCAGCTCTCCTCTCGCCCACCCACGCCGTGCCATGGGCAGAGCCCCTTATTTAGCGCCGTGCAGCAGCTGCTGCCCCGGTATTTCATCTCCCGGCTGAGCCCGGGCCGGGGGAGCAGCCCACCATCGCTGCCCACCACCATCGCTGCCATCCATCACCACGCCTCGAGAGGTCCCTTCTCCGAGGGTCCCTCATCCCTCGACTCCACCGGCAGGTCGGTGTCCCTGTGTCCCCCACAACCCTGGGGGCTTCCCGAGGGTCCCTGTGCCCTGTGCTCACCCCGCTGGGGTTCGGGGAAGGCAGGAGGAGGAAGAGGAGGTTGGGAGAGCGCTGGGGTGGGCACAGGAAGGGGGAGAGATGGGGTGAGGGTATTGTTTGAATTTGGTGAGGGTTTGGTGGGGGGTTCTGGAAGCAAATCGAGCGGTGGGCAAGCATATGCGTGTCAGGGGATGCCAGCGTGCCAGGGAGCATGCCGGGGGATGCCAGCGTATCAGGGAGTGTGCCAGGGGATGCCAGCGTGCCAGGGAGCGTGTCAGGGGACCGGGTGAACGTGCAGGACGGAGCCCGAGCCGTGTCCGTGCCCCACCCTCGCGGTTGCACGGCTCGTGTGCGAGCGCACAACGGTGGCACCACGGCCACGAGCGGGGGGACACGAGCGGCCACAGCAGGGCCGTGTCCCCCCGCACGTCCCGTAACGACCCCCCCAAACCCTGTAACGCACCCCCGGGGGTCCAAGGGACATCGGCATCCCGGGAAGCGGCGCGATCCCTCCTCCACACACCGGAGAGGGGGTCCCGCCGCCCCCGGTCCCCCCGTCTCCCGTCTCTTTCCCTCCCCAGAGACCGCTTCGCTTCCAGACCCATCCCGGGCCTCCCCATCGAGGGGTCACCGGCTCGGGACAGCCCCGGGAAGCTCCGTCCCTGATCGCCGCCCCCGTGTCCCCCCGAGGATGAAGAACCGACCGGTGCTGGCCGTGCTGCTGCTCCTGGCGCTGCCGCTCGCCCTCGCCCGCCGCGCCCCCGCCGCCCCGCCGGGCCCCGCTCCGGTACGGCCGTCGGTGGGGGAAGCAACGGGCGGATCCCGGATGCCCGGGACCCCCCAGACCCCTTCCCACCTGCTTCATTCCCGCAGGGGATGCCCGGCCCAGAGCCGCTGCCGTGGAGCCCCCGCGGCAGCCCCGGGGCCGCCGCCGCCGCCGCCGCTCTGGAGCTGCTGCGGGAGGAAGGCGCCGGTGAGGGGCGGGAGGGCTCGGATGGGAGGGGGTCGGTCCGCCCGGTGCTCACTCACCCATTTCGGTCTTTTCCAGGTCCCCCCGCGGCGCCGCAGAAGAGTAAGTCCCGCCCGGTGCCGGTGTCGGTGCCGGCGCCGGTACCGGTGCCGCTGACGGCCGGTCTCTCCGCAGGAGACATGCACGATTTCTTCGTGGGGCTCATGGGGAAACGAGCGGCGGGGCGGGGGAACGGCAGCCCGGCCCCTCGGTGCTCCCCGGGACCCCCCGCTCCCGGAGAGGCCCCGCTGCGGGCGGCGTGAGAAGCGGAACGAGCCCCGCACGGGGCCGTGCCCGGTGTCCCGGGGATGGTGGGACTGGAGCGTCCCGGCGCCCACGGAGCCGTGGGGAGCGCGGCCGTGCCGCCCCACGCGCGCGTGTCCGTGCACCTGTGTACACCTGGACGTGTCCCGTTATACACCCACCCGTGTCTGCGCGGGACACGCGCAAAATGTGGCTCCGTGTCTTGGCTGCGCCTCCGGGACCCGCTCGGGACAGACCGGGGGACGGGGATGCGGGGACGGGGATGCGGGAATGAACCCGCCGGGATGGGGATGCGGGGATGGGGATACGGGGATGAGCCCACGGGGATGAGCCCACGGGACCACCGGGGCCGGGGTTCGTGGGCTCTTGGGCTACAGCGCCCTGTCCCTTCCCCACGGCAGCCCCCGTAACTGGAGAAGTGCCCGTGCCCGTGTCCCTTCCCGTGTCCGTGTGTCCGTGCCGCTGTCCGTGTTCCTTCCCGTGCCCGTCTCCATGTCCCTTCTTGTCCGTGCCAGTGTGTAAATACCACACCAGTGTCCGTGTCCGTGTGTCCCGCCCCGTGTCCTTGTCAATGTGTCCCACCCTGCGTCCGTGTCCGTGTGTCCCACACCGGTGTCCGTGTGTTCTTCCCCCTGTCCGTGTGTCCGTGTGTCTCTCCCCGTGTCCATGTGTCCCTCCCCGTGTCCGTGTGTCCCGCTCCGTGTCCGTGTGTCCCCTTGTGTCCCGCCCCGTGTCCGTGTGTCCTTCCCCCTGTCCATGTGTCCGTGTCCATGTCCGTGTGTCCTTCCCCGTGTCCATGTGCCCGTGTCCATGTCCTAGTGTTCCTCCCCGTGTCCATGTGCTCCTCCCCGTGTCCGTGTGTCCCTCCCCGTGTCCATGTGTCCATGTGTCCGTGTGTCCGTGTGCGTGTCCGTGTGTCCGTCCGGTGTCCGCGTGTCCCGCCTCATGTCCATGTGTCCCTCCCCGTGTCTATGTGTCCCTCCCCGTGTCCGTGTGTCCCTCCCCGTGTCCATGTGTCCGTGTGTCCGTCCGGTGCCCCCGCTCCGGTTCCTCCTCTCCGCACGGGGGCGCTGTCGGCGGCGGCTCCCGGAAGGCGGCGCGGGCCGGGGCGGGCGCGGGGCGGGTCGGCGCCTTTGTGTGAGCCGGGCCGGGATGGTGCGGGGCGCCGGGCGGGTAAGGAGCGACCCTCGCCCGCCACCCCCGGCCCCCGCAGGTCCCCCGAGCCGCGCCAGCCCCGCTCCGACCCTCTCCGACCCTCCCCGGGGCCTCCCGCCGCCTTTCGTGGCTCCCTCCGGGGTCCCTTCGTGCCCCGCTCCCCGGGCCCACCGGGGACGCCGCTGTCCCTCCCCTCCATCTCCTCCCGTTTCTCCCGGAGCAGCTCCGGGATTCCCCCTTCCCGCTCCCCCCTTCCCTCCGGTTCTTTCCCCTCCTGCCCCATCCCCTCCACAGGGATCCCCAATTGCCCAGGTGCTTTTGGGGCTGGGCAGCGTTTCCAGAGCCTTCTTCTCCATCTTCATCCTCTTCCTCAGCTGCCGGTGGTGTTTCCTGCATCCCTCCCATCCCCGGGGATGGGTTTTGGGTTTTCCCGGAGCTGGGGCAGAGGCAGCTCCAACCCCTCCAAACTCCCTCTCTTTGCTGCCTTCTGGGCTCGCTGTTCCCTGTCTCAGGACGGGGAAAATGCAGGGAATTAGGAATAGGGGAATTAAGGATAGAGTTGCCTGGGTAAGTTCGTGAAATCCCAAGAGCTGGTGGGGTGTCCGTGAGCAGGACAGAGGGACAAAGGCAGCGGGACAAGCTGGGAGGAATGGTTGGTGCTGTGGGACAGGTGTGGTGGTGGCAGCTGAGGAATCTGAGAGGTGCTGCCAAGAAATCCCAGGGGAATCCATCCCAGGAGAATCCATCCCAGGGAAATCCATCCAGGGGAATCCATCCCAGGGGAATCCATCCCAGGAGAATCCATCCCAGGGAAATCCATCCAGGGGAATCCATCCTGGGGAATCCATCCCAGGGGAATCCATCCAGAGGAATCCACCCCAGGGGAATCCATCCCAGGGGAATCCATCCAGGGGAATCCATCCCAGGGGAATCCATCCCAGGGGAATCCATCCCAAGGGAATTCATCCCAGGGAAATCCATCCAGGGGAATCCATCCCAGGGGAATCCATCCCAAGGGAATTCATCCCAGGGAAATCCATCCAGGGGAATCCATCCTGGGGAATCCATCCAGGGGAATCCAGCCAGGGGAATCCATCCCAGGGAAATCCATCCAGGGGATTCCATCCAGGGGAATCCATCCTGGGGAATCCATCCAGGGGAATCCATCCCAGGGGAATCCATCCTGGGGAATCCATCCCAGGGGAATCCATCCCAGGGGAATCCATCCAGGGGAATCCATCCTGGGGAATCCATCCCAGGGGAATCCAGAGGCTGGAATGCAGAGAGTCCCACCTGGGAGCCTGAAGTCTCCTTGTGGGTCCAGGTGGAATCTGAAGTGAATGAATGAAGTGGCTGCAGCTGGAGGAGACCTGGAGTTGAATCTGGTCCAGCCTTAGTGACATCTCCTTGGAAAGGAGCCTCATCCCCAGCTCAGGAGGAGGGAGATGTCAGGAACAGGCTCTGGTTTGGTCTCAGGGTCAGCAGGATCTCTGTCCCTGCCCCTGTAGCAGTGGGACCTTCAGGCTGCCTCTGAGAGTCTTTTAATTTTGACTTTGCTGCTTTGCACATTCAGCCTTTTACTTCCCCAAACTGAGGTGACAGGACAGGGTTAGTCCATCTCCAGCTCAGCAGCTGCTCTGTGGCTCCTCAGAAGGGTGCAAAATTACCAGAATGACATTGCTTTGATTGTTAAATAACATTTTTTTAACATTTCCCCTCTGCAGAGCCCCTTGCCCTGCCAATTCCTGCTCCCGCCGCGGATGAAAGCGTGAAGGCCGAGCTGACCAGCAGAAAGGGCTCTTGAAGCAGCTGCTAAGATGGGCATGAGGATCAAGCTGCACAGCACCAACCACCCCAACAACCTGCTGAAGGAACTCAACAAGTGCCGCCTCTCCGAGACCATGTGCGACGTCACCATCCTGGTGGGCTCCCGCTCCTTCGCTGCCCACAAGGCCGTGCTGGCCTGTGCTGCTGGCTACTTCCAGAACCTCTTCCTCAACACTGGGCTGGACGCTGCCAGGACCTACGTGGTGGATTTCATCACGCCAGCCAACTTTGAGAAGATCCTGAGCTTTGTGTACACCTCGGAGCTCTTCACCGACCTCATCAACGTGGGGGTGATTTATGAGGTGGCGGAGAGGTTGGGCATGGAGGATCTGCTGCAGGCTTGTCACTCCACCTTCCCTGACCTGGAGAGCTCGGCCGTCACCAAGCAGCCTGCTCTGTCAGTGGGGGAAGGCAGGGCTGGGGTGCTGAGCAGCACCTCCTCGGAGCAGAGCCACCCTTTGGGGGACATCCGGGGTGGTGTGGAGCATTTCGGCCCTGAGAGGAATTATCTCCTGCACGGGGACGTGGTGGGAAGCTACAAAGAGGATGAGAGGAGTGCTGTGGGTGAGGCCAGCCAGGCTCTTCCCCTGATGCACCCACAGCAGCCTCCCAAGACAGAGCAGGAGTGTGATGCAGGACAATTCACTCCAGTCACGGGTCTGGGGGCTCAGCCTGGCGGGAATGTCGTGGCACAAACCACTGGCAGCTCCTGCCCTCAGTTCAAGGCCCAGAGCAATGGTGACTACAGCAAGGGTGGCTTCTTCCCCACTGACCCCTCCCTGGATGTCTCCACGGGGAGCAATTCCTGCCCCAGCAACAGCGACCACTCCAAAGAGCAGGGATTCGAGCAGATGGATGAGCTCCAGCTGGAGGATTTGGGGGAGGCCGAGCTGCATTTTGAGGATGCTGGAGAAGAGCTGGTCCCGTCTGAGGAGGTGATTGAGCTCAGTGATGACAGCGAGGAGGAGCTGGCCTTTGAGAGCGACAACCGGGACAGCAAGGCCATGCCCTGCCAGGTGTGCAAGAAGGTTCTGGAACCCAACATCCAGCTGATCCGCCAGCACGCCAGGGACCACGTGGACCTGCTCACAGGGAACTGCAAGGTGTGTGAGACCCATTTCCAGGACCGTAACTCCAGGGTGACCCACGTGCTGTCCCACATTGGCATCTTCCTCTTCTCCTGCGACATGTGCGAGACCAAGTTCTTCACGCAGTGGCAGCTGACGCTGCACCGGCGGGACGGGGTCTTCGACAACAACGTCATCGTCCACCCCAGTGACCCCCTCCCGGGGAAGGTGGCTGTTTTTGGGGGAGGGCCCGGCCCTGAGCTGGCCTGTGCTGCCTGTGGGAAGCCCTTGGCCAAAGATTTCCACACGGTGCGGAACCACCTGCTGGAGCACGTGAACCTGAAGAGCCAAACGTGCGGCGTGTGCGACCAGCGGCACCTGAGCCTCTGCAGCCTGCTGTGGCACGCCCTGTCCCACCTGGGCATCTCTGTCTTCTCCTGCTCTGTGTGTGCCAGCAGCTTTGTGGACAGGCAGCTCCTGGAGAAGCACCTGGCCGTGCACCAGCACGTGGAGGAGGCTCTTTTCCAGTGCCACTTCTGCAGCCAGAGCTTCAAGCTGGAAGCCGCTTACCGCTACCACGTCAGCCAGCACAAGTGTGGGGGCAGCCTGGACATCAGGGCAGGGTTTGGGGAGCGCCTGCAGCCGCAGGGGCTGCCCAAGAGGAAGCTGCCTGAGGAGTTTTTGAGCGAGGATCTGGCTCTGCAGAACCAGCCGGGGAACAGCAAGTACAGCTGCAAGGTTTGTGGCAAGAGGTTTGCCCACACCAGCGAGTTCAACTACCACCGGCGCATCCACACCGGGGAGAAGCCCTACCAGTGCAAGGTGTGCCACAAGTTCTTCCGAGGGCGTTCCACCATCAAGTGTCACCTGAGGACGCACTCGGGGGCCCTGATGTATCGCTGCACGGTGTGTGGCCACTACAGCTCCACGCTCAACCTGATGAGCAAGCACATAGGGGTGCACAAGGGCAGCCTCCCGCCCGACTTCACCATCGAGCAGACTTTCATGTACATCATCCATTCCAAAGAGGCTGAGAAAAACACGGATAGCTGATGGGGAAGAAGAGATGGAGGAGGAAAAAGGAAAGGAAAGGAAAAAAAAAAGCAAGTTGTTTTGTTTTATTTAATGGTCAGGCATCATGGATGGAATTTTGCTTTTTGTTTGATTTTTTTTTTTTTTAATTATTATTTTTGGGCCTTCCTAGGGCTTTTTAGATTGGTGGAGTTGTACAAATTAACAGCACGTGAGGTACATCACTGTTTCAAGGAGTCTGTCGTGTTTACTTACCTCTGGTCCTGTTAGAGGCCATCTGTGCTATTAGCATTTCTCACTAGTTTTTAAGCCTAGATTCAATTTTTTTTTTAAACCTTTTAGCCCACTTGACCAGGCTAAGCTTGTCCACAAACTGATGCTGCTAAGATTTTCACACCTGACCTCAGTGGAGAGGGACAAGAGCCACAGCAGGCGCTGGACTCGAAAGGAAAGGAACAAAAGAGAAAGAAAAAGAGAAAAAAAAAAGGAAAGAAAAAAAGACATTCAGGGCATCCCTGGTGCTCTGCTGCTACTGCCAGGAGAGGAGCAAAGTGTGCTCTGGGGAGAGGAGCAGGAAGCACCTGAGTGTGTAAACAAGGAGGGGTCCCAGCAGGGATCAAGGAGCAGGAGATTCACAAACGAGGAGGGATCAGGAGCAGGGAATTCACACATCCCCAGGCCCTGTTTGCTCTGCCGTGCCCTGAGACCTTGGAGAGGAGGAGCTGAAGGAGCCCCAGGACCTCCCTGCAGAGGGAGAGGTGGCTGTGCGAGCACGGAGATCTCCTGCAGGATCGGAGAGGGAGGGGAGGAAGCTCCCTGCTCCTTTTGGGCTGATTTGTGGTGGCCACAGAGAGCCGGGACTGTCCTGGCAGTGCCCTGGGCAGGTGAGTCAGGATGAAGCTGTTGCCTTAACTCCCTGGAAGGAGGAGGAGGAGGAGGAGGAGGAGGGAGGACCCTTCTCCTCCCACACCCTGGACGCGTTCCTGTGGCAAACCCGTGTGCTTGGAGTGGTGTGAGTTTGTTTGTTCGTGGAGTGGGAGCCACAGCGATGGCTGGGCACTGCTGGGGGGGCTTCCCTGGGTTTGGGGGGCTCCCCTGGGCATGGAGTGGGCATGGAGGGGCTCTTCTGGGTGTGAGGAGCTCTCCTAGGTGTGGAGGGGCTCCCCTGGGTGTTGGGGGCCATGGAGGGGCTCTCCTGGGCGTGGGAGGCTCTCCTGGCTGTGGAGATGCTCCCCTGGGTATGAAGGGGCTCCCCTGGCTGTGGGGGGCTCTGCTGGGCATGGAGGGGCTTTCCTGGGTATAGGGGGGCTCTCCTGGGTTTGAGGAGCTCTCCTGGGCATGGAGAGGCTCCCCTGGGTGTGGAGAGGCTTCTCTGGGCATGGAGTGGGCATGGAGGGGCTCTCCTGGGTTTGGAGGTCTCTCTTGGGCATGGAGGGGCTCCCCTGGACATGGAGGGGCTCTCGTGGACATGGAGGGGCTCTCCTGGGCATGGGGGGCTCTCTTGGCCCTGTGTCAGGTCCACCTCAGCATGGGGGTCTCTCCTGCCCATTCCTGGGGTCTCTCCTGCCCATTCCTTGGTGTTTCCTGGCCATTCCTGGGGGTCTCTCCTGCCCGTTCCTGGGGTCGCTCCTGGCGTCTCTCCTGGCCACCCCAGCGAGGTGCCAACAGTGTTAACACAGGGAAAGGCATGGCTTGGCTTCTCCCTGTTGTCATCCAGCTTTTTTTGTGGGAGGCAGAGGTGGGGAAGGAACAAACAGATCTTTCCAAGCTGGGATTGCCCTCGGGTACCTCAATTCTACCTCACAAACAAAGAAGTGCTCGGGGCTTTTTCCAGCCTGGATCAGCTCCTGCGCTTCTGTCGAGTTTTGCTGTTACAAAACTAAAACTAAAGAACTAAAAAACTAAACTAAACTAGTGATTTACAAACCCTGGAAACTCACCCTGCTGTGAAGGGACACAGGGAAGGGACAGACACCCAGGAAGGGCCATCTCAGAGAGCTCAGAGCACACCAGGGTTTCTCTCTCCCAGCTCCACCATGGCCTTGGGCAAGTCACTTCACCTCTTTTGCCTCAGTTTCCTCATCTGTAAAATGAGGGTGGTACCTCCCGTGGTACTGAGCTACCTCCAGGAGCAGGGGAGGGTGCCTGGAGCCTGGATTTGGAGTGTGGGAAGGAGGCACCAGAGCCAAATTCAGCTCTGGGTTGCTGCAGCTCTTGAGTTTTGAACTCCAGCCTCGTGGTCCTGGCGTCACTGTGGAGCTGTGTTGAGGTTTTACAAGAGAAATGGGAATTTTGGGGGGTGCTGTGGGGCAGTGGTGGGGCTTTGCTGTGGGCTCCTCTGAGCTGCTCTCTGGGTTCCTGTCGTGGGATTGTGGGGTGGGTGAGGCTGGGGGGGACAATTGGGGGTCACCCAGTCACCCCCTCACGGCTGGGGACAAACTGGGGACAGGGACGGGGGTGGACACGACCTGCGCTGCTCTGGAGGTGGCTGTGAAGGCTGGGAGAGCCTTGAGACCCTCCTGGAACGTTCCAGAAGCCGTGCTGAGCTTCAGGGAGGGCCTGCTGAAAAAGCAAAAGCCTTTTTGTGCACATGAACCGAAAAGTGAAGATTTTACACCCAAACAGGCACAGCCAGCCCTTGCTCCTGCCTGGAGGGGGAAAGCAGGAATCCCCCATTGCTGCTGGTTCTGATCCAGGGAATTTCTGGGTTTTTGGGTTAAAACCAGATCATTCCCACCTGGAACACCCCAAATCCAGGGAATTTTTTGGGTTAAAAACAGATCATTCCCACCTGGAACACCCCAAATCCAGGGAATTTTTTGGGTTAAAACCAGTTCATTCTGTTTTTGGTGGGGAAAAGCAGGAATCCCCCATTGCTGCTGGTTCTGATCCAGGGAATTTCTGGGGTTTTGAGTTAAAACCTGATCATTCCCACCTGGAACACCCCAAATCCAGGGAATTTTTTGGGTTAAAACCAGATCATTCTGTTTTTGGGGGGGAAAAGCAGGAATCCCCCATTGCTGCTGGTTCTGATGCAGGGAATTTCTGGGGTTTTGGGTTAAAACCAGATCATTCCCACCTGGAACACCCCAAATCCAGGGAATTTTTTGGGTTAAAAACAGATCATTCCCACCTGGAACACCCCAAATCCAGGGAATTTTTTGGGTTAAAACCAGTTCATTCTGTTTTTGGGGGGGAAAAGCAGGAATCCCCCATTGCTGCTGGTTCTGATCCAGGGAATTTCTGGGTTTTTGGGTTAAAACCAGATCATTCCCACCTGGAACACCCCAAATCCAGGGAATTTCTTGGGTTAAAACCAGATCATTCCCACCTGGAACACCCCAAATCCAGGGAATTTTTTGGGTTAAAACCAGATCATTCCCACCTGGAACACCCCAAATCCAGGGAATTTTTTGGGTTAAAGCCAGTTCATTCTGGTTTTGGTGGGGAAAAGCAGGAATCCCCCATTGCTGCTGGTTCTGATCCAGGGAATTTCTGGGTTTTTGGGTTAAAACCAGATCATTCCCACCTGGAACACCCCAAATCCAGGGAATTTTTTGAGTTAAAACCAGATCATTCCCACCTGGAACACCCCAAATCCAGGGAATTTTTTGGGTTAAAACCAGATCATTCCCACCTGGAACACCCCAAATCCAGGGAATTTTTTGAGTTAAAACCAGATCATTCCCACCTGGAACACCCCAAATCCAGGGAATTTTTTGGGTTAAAACCAGATCCCTGGGGTAGGAGAGGGGGAAATTCTGGCAGCAGCATCCAGGTCATGGAGCCTTCCTCAAACGGAGAATCTCCAAATCTCCAGTGATCACTCCCACCCCCAAACACAAAATTCACTTTTTTCCCCCTGTTCTCAGTGGATCCAGGTCTGTCAGCAGAGAAATTGAGCAGAAGAAAGAAAAGAAATAAATAAAGAACAAGAGTTGAATTTGCTGTCTAACCTTTTTTTGTTAAGTTAATCGTAGGTACTGACCTCCTGCTATTTAAGTGTTTACTATCTATTTGCTGTAAAGTTTTGTATATTTTGTAAACTTTTCCCCCCCTGCCCTCCCCCGAATCGTAGATGTCTAAAATCGTTGTACATCGGGTTCTTTTCTACTCCATTGTTCAGCACAAAGTGTGGTTTTTATTTAGAATAATAAAATGGAAAACATTGATCCCTTGTAGCTGGTTTTTTTATAAAGTGTTTTCCTCACAGGAATGCCTGGGGAGCAGGTATCCATATAAATATCTCATTTGAGGGGGGATCTTGTCCATAAAAATATCTCAGATTTCTCATTTGAGAGGGGATCTCAATCCATAAAATGTCTCAGATATCCATATAAATATCTCATTTGAGAGGCGATCTTGTAAATCCATAAAAATATCTCAAATATCTCAGAGGGGATCTCAACAATTTATAAAACTATCTCAGATTTCTCATTTGAGAGGGGATCTCAATCCATAAAATATCTCAGGTATCCATATAAATATCTCATTTGAGAGGGGATCTTGTAAATCCATAAAAATATCTCAAATATCTCAGAGGGGATCTCAACAATTCCCTAAAAATATCTGAAATTTCTCATTTGAGAGGGGATCTCATCAATCCACAAAAATACCTCAGATATCTCAGAGGGGATCTCTTAAATTCATAAAAATATCTCTGATTTCTCATTTGAGAGGGGATCTCAACAATCCATAAAAATATCTCATCAATCCATACAAATATCTCATTTTTAAGGGAATCTCATCAATCCATAAAAATATCTCCAAGTGGGTGCCAAGAGGATGGTGCCAAACTTTCTGTGGTGTGACAGGACAAGGAGCAGCAGTTCCATAAATGAAACCACAAGAAATTCCACCTTGACACAAGGAAGAATTTCCCATGGAGGTGGGAATAATTTATTGGTGGCCACTCTGACCCTTAAGTTTATGGACAAAAGTGCAGAGAAATTAAGACAGTTAAAATTAACTTTATTAGGTGAAATACCAAATATTACACGTTGAAATATCTTGAATGTATTTTTGCCCTGGTGAGTGGCTGGTTTTGGGTTTATCATTCATTTCTTCATTGGGAATGGGAGGGAATTAACAAAGGGAAGATCAAGGGGGGGGATTTGGGATGAGGGAATGAAGGTGGTGGGGAGCTGTGGGTGCAGATCTCAGCCTGGGGGTGTCACAGGAACAGAGCAGGGAATTCCTGAGCAGGGAATTCTGACCCTGCTGGAGCCTGGATTTGGATTATTCCCAGTGGGATAAAAAGGAACATCCCTGCAGAAGGAATTCTGAGGAATTTCGGGTTTTTTCCCCCATCAGGGACCCCTGGAAGTGGCAGAGCTTTGTGATAACCCCACATCCTGGTCATGGGCTTCTCCTGGGACATCCTGCTCCCAGCCCTGAGCCAGCATTCTGTCCCCAGAACTGCTGATGCTTCGCTTTTTTTTCCACCAAGAGTTCCTCCAGCAGCTCAAGGCCTTTGGGAGATTTATGGTCCCTCTGTCACCTTCCCCCAGCAAAGGCCTGACCCCAGCACGTGACTGAGATCAGCATCCACACAAGGATGAACTTTCTCCGCATTCTCCAGTTCCTTGCACGGCACAAACCCAGCTCTGAGGATTTCTGCACATCCCTGTGCTCCCACAGCGGCTTTGGTGGGAGGGGAAGGGATTTTGGGGCTTGTTGGGGTTGAGGAATTTACCCAGTGGCCATAAAAACCCTCCAGGGGATGCTCCAGAGGAGTTAATGGGATGGGGGACCCAAAGTTAGTCTGAGCAGCCTTTCCCAGTAAAACCCAGTTTAGCCATCACTAATTTAAAATTTGTAAAAAAATTTACAGCTGGGTTTGCAAAACTGCTCTGAAGGAGCGGCTGATCTCAAATCCAAATTGTTCCTCTCCTCCTTCAGGTCTGTGCCCTGCTCAGCCCCTTGGGCTGCTTGGCCTTCATCTCTCAAAAATCAGGCTCTGGGTGTTGCTGGGCACGAAGGGGGGAGGTTTGAGTTCCAAATTCCTCCTCTCCCACTCAGGATGGCACAAACCAGGCAGTGCCATGCCCAGGGCTGGGGGTCAGGGGCAGTTTGGGAGTGCAGGAACACCCTTGGTGGGGCAGATGCTGCACCCCAACCTCACAGCTTGGGGGCACAGGATGGGGCTCTGATCTCGGGGCTGTGTCAGACACTGAGTGGAGTAACAAACTTTATTATTGCAAGGGAATATAATGTTCTTATCAAACAGGGAATATAATTTTCTCTTATCCTTCCTTTAGGTTGGACAAAACAGCG